ATAGGTTAGACTCCAACATTAGTCCTGGGACTGGTGAATCCTGTGAACATGGAAACGATAATGTCTGTAGATATTTGGGAAATTTCACACCAGCTCCTAAAAATAAAATGTTTCTTAAAATGAAGCAGTTGTAATGATACAACGAGGTGTAATAATACAGTGCTGTAATAATAATATAATGAGCTGTAATGATACACTGAGCTTTAATGATACAATGAGCTGTAATAATACAATAAGCTGTAATAATAATATAATAAGCTGTAATAATAATATAATGAGCTGTAATGATACACTGAGCTTTAATGATACAATGAGCTGTAATAATACAATAAGCTGTAATAATAATATAATGAGCTGTAATGATACACTGAGCTTTAATGATACAATGAGCTGTAATAATACAATAAGCTGTAATAATAATATAAGGAGCTGTAATGATACACTGAGCTTTAATGATACAATGAGCTGTAATAATATAATAAGCTGTAATAATAATATAATGAGCTGTAATAATACAATAAGCTGTAATAATAATATAATGTGCTCTACTGAGACAATGAGCTGTAATGAGACAATGCTGTAATAATACAATAAGCTGTAAAAATTCACTGAGCTTTAATGATACTATGGGCTGTAATTATACAATGAGCTGTTATATGGCAACGAGCTACACTAATACAATGCTGTAATAATAATATAATGAGCTGGAATGATACAATGAGCTGCAGTTATACACTGAGCTAAAATGATAAAATGAACTGTAATGATACGGTGAGCTGTAATAATTTAATAAGCTGTAATGATACAATGAGCTGTAATAATACACAGAAATATAAAGATACAATGAGCTATAATAATATAATGATGCAATAATAACATAATAAGCATGTAACACATGTAAAGCACATACAACAAAACGTACATACTACATATTATAAACACACACACAATAAAAAAGAACATAAACATATCAACTACGTAGAAAGGGGAACACACATTACATTTTACATATAGGAGAGTATCAGAATCTGACAATTCATTGTTAAAGGAGACTACAGAAACCTCAAAGGGACACTACAGGCACCAAAACAACTTCAGCTTAATGAAGCAGTTCTAGTGTATGGATCATGTCCATGCAGTCTCACTGCTCAATTATCTGCCAATTAGGAGTTAAATAACTTTGCTTATTCAGCTCCAGCCACACCACCTCTGACTGCAACCTACTGTCTCCATACACACTTCCTATAAAGAGAGATCTAATGTTTAAACTTCCTTTATTGTAAATTCTGTTTAATTTAGAATTTAGAACTTATCCCTGCTCTGTTAATAGCATTCTACAGAAGTCTTCAGCGTCTTATTAAAGTTCAATTTACAGAGCAGGAAATAAAAACTTCTGAAGTAAACACACTGAGCTATAAGATGTGACTGAATAATGAAAAATATTGTGTGAGTCAAAACTGCTTTAGTAAGCCAAATATAGGAGGGCACTGAAACCTGTTAATTCCTTATTATAGGAGAGTACTGGAACCCATTAATTCCTCACTATAGGAGAGTACCGGAAACCGTTAATTCCTTACTATAGGAGAGTACCGGAAACCGTTAATTCCTTACTATAGGAGAGTTATGGTACCTGTTATTTCCTTACAATAGGAGAGTACCGGAACCCATTAATTCCCTATTATAGGAGAGTACTGGAACTCGATAATTCCTTACTATAGGAGAGTACCGGAACCTGTTAATTCCTTACTATAGGAGAGTACCGGAACCCATAAATTCCCTATTATAGAAGAGTACTGGAACCCGTTTATTTCTTACTATAGGAGAGTACCGGAACCCGTTAACTCCTTACAATAGGAGAGTACTGGAACCCGTTAATTCCCTATTATAGGCGAGTACCAGAACCCGATAATGCCTTACTATAGGAGAGTGCAAATTAAACAAGGCGGGCACACTCGACTAAACAACAAAATAGCCCCAGGAAAAGGCTAATATAATAAATACTGCTCACCCACATAAGGCTCTATCCCCTAAAGAACCCAAAATACATAACAGTGTGAATAGAGTAAGGAGCACAACCATAAATCTTTATATATATGAAAAAAATCTTTATTAAATGGGTATATACTATAGGACTGTCTCTTTAAATATTATCCACAGAGGTACAGAGTCATGCTATTCAAAAGCATTTACCAGAAAAGCAATGATATAAGCAAATATAAAACGCTCAATGCGTAATAAATGAATGAAAGAAATATCATGCAAACAGTCCACTATAATACTAGTATAATGAAAACCCAGACATATAAAAAAATGTAGCAAACCATACCAAATATCATTCTCATATCAGTACTTCTCACTGAATTTGGTATGGTTTGCTACATTTTTTTATATGTCTGGGTTTTCATTATACTAGTATTATAGTGGACTGTTTGCATGATATTTCTTTCATTCATTTATTACGCATTGAGCGTTTTATATTTGCTTATATCATTGCTTTTCTGGTAAATGCTTTTGAATAGCATGACTCTGTACCTCTGTGGATAATATTTAAAGAAACAGTCCTATAGTATATACCCATTTAATAAAGATTTTTTTCATATATATAAAGATTTATGGTTGTGCTCCTTACTCTATTCTTACTATAGGAGAGTACCAGAACCCATTCATTTCTTACTATAAGAGAGTACAGGAATCTGTTAATTCCTTATGACAGGAGAGTATCGGAACCCGGTTATTCCTTACTATTAGAAAGTACCAGAACCTACTAATTCCCTGTTTAGCACAGTACCAGAACCTACTAATTCCCTGTTTAGCGCAGTACCAGAACCTACTAATTCCCTGTTTAGCACAGTACCAGAAATGACTAATTCCCTGTTTTAGCACAGTACCAGAACCTACTAATTCTCTGTTTAAGCACAGTACCAGAACCTGCTAATTCTCTGTTTTAGCACAGTATCAGAACCTACTAATTCCCTGTTTTAGCACAGTATCAGAACCTACTGATTCCCTGTTTTAGCACAGTATCAGAACCTACTAATTCCCTGTTTTAGCACACTACCAGAACCTACTAATTCCCTGTTTTAGCACAGTACCAGAACCTACTAATTCCCTGTTTTAGCACACTACCAGAACCTACTAATTCCCTGTTTTAGCACAGTACCAGAACCTACTAATTCCCTGTTTTAGCACAGTACCAGAACCTACTAATTCCCTGTTTTAGCACAGTACCAGAACCTACTAATTCCCTGTTTTAGCACAGTATCAGAACCTACTAATTCCCTGTTTTAGCACAGTATCAGAACCTACTAATTCTCTGTTTTAGCTCAGTACCAGAACCTACTAATTCCCTGTTTTAGCTCAGTACCAGAACCTGCTAATTCTCTGTTTTAGCACAGTACCAGAACCTACTTATTCCCTGTTTTAGCACAGTATCAGAACCTACTAATTCCCTGTTTTAGCACAGTACCAGAACCTACTTATTCCCTGTTTTAGCACAGTACCAGAACCTACTAATTCCCTGTTTTAGCACAGTATCAGAACCTACTAATTCCCTGTTTTAGCACAGTACCAGAACCTACTAATTCCCTGTTTTAGCACAGTATCAGAACCTACTAATTCCCTGTTTTAGCTCAGTACCAGAACCTGCTAATTCTCTGTTTTAGCACAGTATCAGAACCTACTAATTCCCTGTTTTAGCTCAGTACCAGAACCTGCTAATTCTCTGTTTTAGCACAGTACCAGAACCTACTAATTCCCTGTTTTAGCTCAGTACCAGAACCTACTAATTCCCTGTTTTAGCACAGTACCAGAACCTACTAATTCCCTGTTTTAGCACAGTACCAGAACCTACTAATTCCCTGTTTTAGCTCAGTATCAGAACCTACTAATTCCCTGTTTTAGCACAGTACCAGAACCTACTAATTCCCTGTTTTAGCACAGTACCAGAACCTACTAATTCTCTGTTTTAGCACAGTACCAGAACCTACTAATTCCCTGTTTTAGCTCAGTACCAGAACCTACTAATTCCCTGTTTTAGCTCAGTACCAGAACCTACTAATTCCCTGTTTTAGCACAGTATCAGAACCTACTAATTCCCTGTTTTAGCTCAGTACCAGAACCTACTAATTCCCTGTTTTAGCACAGTACCAGAACCTACTAATTCCCTGTTTTAGCACAGTACCAGAACCTACTAATTCCTTGTTTTAGCACAGTATCAGAACCTACTAATTCCCTGTTTTAGCACAGTATCAGAACCTACTAATTCCCTGTTTAGCACAATATCAGAACCTACTAATTCCCTGTTTTAGCACAGTATCAGAACCTACTAATTCCCTGTTTTAGCACAGTACCAGAACCTACTAATTCCCTGTTTTAGCACAGTATCAGAACCTACTAATTCCCTGTTTTAGCACAGTACCAGAACCTACTAATTCCTTGTTTTAGCACAGTATCAGAACCTACTAATTCCCTGTTTTAGCACAGTATCAGAACCTACTAATTCCCTGTTTAGCACAATATCAGAACCTACTAATTCTCTGTTTTAGCTCAGTACCAGAACCTACTAATTCCCTGTTTTAGCACAGTACCAGAACCTACTAATTCCCTGTTTTAGCACAGTATCAGACCTTACTAATTCCCTGTTTTAGCTCAGTACCAGAACCTACAAATTCCTTGTTTTAGCACAGTATCAGAACCTACTAATTCCCTGTTTTAGCACAGTACCAGAACCTACTAATTCCCTGTTTTAGCACAGTACCAGAACCTACTAATTCCCTGTTTTAGCTCAGTACCAGAACCTACTAATTCCCTGTTTTAGCTCAGTACCAGAACCTACTAATTCCCTGTTTTAGCTCAGTACCAGGACCTACTAATTCCCTGTTTTAGCTCAGTACCAGAAGTTACTAATTCCCTGTTTTAGCACAGTACCAGAACCTACTAATTCCCTGTTTTAGCTCAGTACCAGAACACTTATCCCCAATAAAACTCCTGGTAACTCCTTACCTCAGCTCCTGTCCTCCTCGCTTGGGGAAACCTTTTCAGATCCAGTCCAGTTGAGGTTAAATATACAGATGTATGTTCAGCAAAATATGATTCCACCTTCTCTCTCCCTCCCCTGCTCTAACTGGACTCCTCTCTGTATGTTACATAAAGGGTGTCCGTGAGACACTACATGGAATGGTTGGTATATAGTGGCCATACCACCAGCTTGCAGACCATACCTCGAATTTATCTAAACTCTGCCATAAACATCTGGCAGACAGTGTAAACATAGGAATAAACCTGACATCACAAATCCTGTCCCTGGACATTTAAAACAGAACGAAGAGCAGGAAAGAGTTAATTCTGCTACATTTCGTTATCCCTCGTAGAACGCCACGGAGCTCGACAGATGCTATCTGAACCTTCCCGCTTTAATCCCAGACTGGCTTTAATGCACCCAGGCTAACAAAGTGGACCTACCAATCGCTTGGATCAGAGCTGGAGAGATCACGGGGGCTGCTGTTTAACTATTACAAGACCGGACTAAGCCTACCAAACGCAATAACTGAAAAGATTGAAAAAGTCAAGAGTGGGTTTAATGAAAGTTTCTAGTTCCCACCCTGTGTAATCTTCTGATTAAATAACATTTACCCATCCCCCAGACACAAACTATCTCCGAGACCAGTAACGCACAGCGAGGCTGATCGCAGTGTTCGTGTAAGCAGCTTACTCTATTCATCCAGGAAGCCTTACAGAGAGAAGGAGAGAGCTATGAACATAACGCTAGGGTTTATTAATTGCTTGGAAATGAGACGAGCCGTTTAAAGGCCCTTACAATGAGGATTTAAAAGATATTACTTTAAATGTTAATATTAAAATTCATCAACAAGAGTTCTAGGCTAATGTCAATTCTATCCATATTCCAATGAGCAAAGCTGGTCAGCTGACACTCTCAGCTAATTCATGGATACGGCCTCAGAATTCAACTTCCATGTCAGATCCGTGTCACCAGAGGAAGAAGGAAGCATGGCGGCCAGTGGGGACCAAGATAAGAGGGCAAACCGTTGCAAAACACTTTGTCTCATTACCGGGAAACATGGCCAGGGTGCCCGTCGCACCACAATCACTACAGCGGTATAATGCTTGCACTAGCCCTTTAACAGTAAGAAACTTTTTCATAGAGGTGGGCTCCATTGCATTTAGAAAGCATTGCCGCTACCATATCACACTTATTGTGAGCACATCGGCTACAGTAAACAACTTATTGTATGCACAGCCGCTGCCGTATAACATTTATTGTGAGCACAGCCGCTACCCTATAACATTTATTGTGTGCACAGCCGCTACCCTATAACATTTATTGTGAGCACAGCCGCTACCCTATAACATTTATTGTGTGAACAGCCGGTACCCTATAACATTTATTGTGAGCACAGCCGCTACCATATAACATTTATTGTGTGCACAGCCGCTACCCTATAACATTTATTGTGAGCACAGCCGCTACCATATAACATTTATTGTGTGCACAGCCGCTACCCTATAACATTTATTGTGTGCACAGCTGCTACCCTATAACATTTATTGTGAGCACAGCCGCTACCCTATAACATTTATTGTGAGCACAGCCTTTGGCGTATAACATTTATTGTGTGCACAGCCGCTACCGTATAACATTTATTGTGTGCACAGCCGCTACCCTGTAACATTGATTGTGTGCACAGCCGCTACCCTATAACATTTATTGTGAGTACAGCCGTTACGGTAAACAACTTATTGTTAGCACAGCCGCTACCGTATAACATTTACTGTGTGCACAGCCGCTACCATATAACATTTATTGTGTGCACAGCCACTACCCTATAACATTTATTGTGTGCACAGCCACTACGATAAACAACTTATTGTGAGCACAGCCACTACCGTATAACATTTAGTGTGTGCACAGTCGCTATCGTGTAACATTGATTGTGTGTACAGCTGCTACCGTGTAACATTTATTGTGTGCACAGCCGCTACGGTAAACAACTTATTGTCAGCACAGCCGCTACCATATAACATTTACTGTGTGCACAGCCGCTACCGTATAACATTTACTAGTGACACTTCTGATGAAGCCTGTTTGGCGTAATGCGTAAAGTGTTATTTTATATAGCCTTTTTGTTTTAATATTGTCACTATTGTTATTATTAAACATTTTTAAAGTGATATACTTTTTAATTTATTTTTATCATCACTTCCTGGTCTACATATCCTACAGTGGGGATTGTACCACTGCAAGCCCTATATACTAGAGCAAGTTATCTGCTCTAGCAAATGTGAGTATAATTACTTTCATTTACTTCTTCTATATTTGAAGTCTGAGTTACCACGCCATTGAAGTTTCTCTCTCTTTTTTTTCATCCCATTTATACCACCATATTATTGGAGTATTGAAGACTTTGGATTCCTAATCCTGAGACGGGGATTGTACTGTCCGTGCGAATTACGGTAGAGCTCCATATTAGCTCTACCAAATGTGAGTTTAAAATATCTCCACTCTTTATATCACCTCTAAAATTTGTCAAATATACTACACTATTATTATTATTTTTTTCTTTGTGTTCTCTTTTTTTTGAGGATATATTATCTACATCAACTAAGAGATATAAAGTGTATGTATATACAGTTAATATAAGGCGCGGTTCCCTTCTCCTTCTGTATACTCATTGTCTTTCTACAAGGCTGGGAATCCTTGCTTTGGTTACTGCTGCCTATCCATCTCCTTTTTTTGTAGCAAGCACCTAACACACTTTACTTTTTTCCGCTACCGTATAACATTTATTGTGAGCAGAGCCGCTACCCTATAACATTTAATGTGAGCACAGCCGCTACCCTATAACATTTAATGTGAGCACAGCCGCTACCCTCTAACATTTATTGTGAGCAGAGCCGCTACCGTATAACATTTATTGTGAGCACAGCCGCTACCCTATAACATTTATTGTGAGCACAGCCGCTACCCTATAACATTTAATGTGAGCACAGCCGCTACCCTATAACATTTAATGTGAGCACAGCCGCTACCCTATAACATTTATTGTGAGCACAGCCGCTACCCTATAACATTTATTGTGAGCACAGCAGCTACTGTATAACATTGATTTGTGTGCACAGCAAGTACCGTGTAACTTGTGTGCACAGCCACTACCGGGTAACATTGATTGTATGCACAGCCGCTGCGATTAACAAATTATTCTGGGCGGGGCCGTTACAGTAAACAACTTATTCTGGCAGCTGTGTGGGCCCTGATGAATATTATGTAGGAATTTTATGGCAAGATGGGAGGCTTCATATTTGCTTATCTTTCTTTACTGAAATTCCCAGCAAAGAAACAGTTAACAATCAGTGTAACAAGTTTAACCAATCAGCATGCATCACAGTAATATAAACTGCCATCAGGCTCCTCCCAACTCCTCTTTCTTTGCTGCTCAGCCTCACAGGTGAGTCTATTCCAATTATACTCTTTATTGTTGTTCATTAGTTATAATCAGACCCTAATAAATATAGGGTTTTTTTGATAATTTTTCATGATTTGGTCCACTTTCCAACTTTTATTGCTATTTGGTTTTATTTGTTTATTAATATCTCTGTTTAATCCTTGTTGAGGGGCCGACCTTTCTGTCAGCCCACAGAACTATTCTCTATACTCTGTATTTCCCCTTATGTTTTTCCTGTTTCTGTACTAGACATCACTTGCTTTATTCGCGGCTCCAGACATCATGCTCCGTTTTTTTTTTTTATTGCGCACTGTTTGTATGGCCATTTAATGTCTCCATAGAGACGCGTCCCGCCTTTTCTGTTTCACGGTCATTTCGTTCAAACCTTCTCCACGCTTTAACACCTGCACCATTTTGTCGTATATCCTGGTGCTTAGTGTGCAGCAGACCGTTTTGGCTCTTCACCGTGTTCGCGACCCAGCTAATAGGTAAGTAAATGCTACCATTAAATTTGTAATATTGGTCTATCTATAAAGGTATAGGAGTTTCCTCCTGTCTGATACACATCCATTTGTTTCTTTTTGCAGATTCCCCAAAAAACACTGAAATACTAAATCCTTGCATTATTAAGAGGGTGGCCCCCTCTAGACTCTATACTGAAGGTGACCCTCTCTAGAATTTATACTGAGTGTGACCCCCTCTAGACTCTATACTGAGGGTGACCCTCTCTAGAATTTATACTGAGGGTGACCCCCTCTAGACTCTATACTGAGGGTGACCCCCTCTAGACTCTATACTGAGGGTGACCCCCTCTAGACTCTATACTGAGGGCGACCCCCTCTAGACACTATACTGAGGGTGACCCCTGCCAGCCTCTATACTGAGGGGGTGACCCCCTCTAGCCTCTATACTGAGGGTGACCCCCTCTAGCCTTTATACTGAGGGTGACCCCCTCTAGCCTTTATATTAAGGGTGACCCTCTCTAGAATTGATACTGAGGGTGACCCCCTCTAGACTCTATATTGAGGGTGACCCCCTCTAGACTCTATACTGAGGGTGATCCCTGCCTGCCTCTATACTGAGGGGGTGACCCCCTCTAGCCTCTATACTGAGGGTGACCCCCTCTAGACTTTATACTGAGGGTGACCCCCTCTAGACTCTATACTAAGGGTGACCCCCTCTAGACTCTATACTGAGGGTGACCCTCTCTAGAATTTATACTGAGGGTGACCCCCTCTAGACTCTATACTGAGGGTGACCCCCTCTAGACTCTATACTAAGGGTGACCCTCTCTAGAATTTATACTGAGGGTGACCCCCTCTAGACTCTATACTGAGGGTGACCCTCTCTAGAATTTATACTGAGGGTGACCCCCTCTAGACTCTATACTGAGGGTGACCCCCTCTAGACTCTATAGTAAGGGTGACCCTCTCTAGAATTTATACTGAGGGTGACCCCCTCTAGACTCTATACTGAGGGTGACCCCCTCTAGACTCTATACTGAGGGTGACCCGCTCTAGCCTCTATACTGAGGGTGACCCCCTCTAGCCTTTATACTAAGGGTGACCCCCTCTAGACTTTATACTGAGGGTGACGCCCTCTAGACTCTATACTGAGGGTGACCCCCTAAAGCCACATTACTGAGGGTGACCCCCTCTAGCCTCTTTACTGAGGGTGAACCCCTCTAGCCTCTTTACTGAGGGTGAACCCCTCTAGCCTCTTTACTGAGGGTGAACCCCTCTAGCCTCTTTACTGAGGGTGACCCCCTCTAGCCTCTATACTGAGGGTGACCCCCTCTAGCCTCTATACTGAGGGTGACCCCCTCTAGCCTCTATATTAATGGTGACCCCCTCTAGCCTCTATACTGAAGCGATTCCCTTACTAAGGGTGAATTCCTCATTGTTCATAAAATACAGGGTAATCCCCTACATTGATTACACAGGTTGTATCTGTCACTGATTCTGGACATTTCACTGTCCTGTTACATTGCATGAACCCCATCGTTAAAAAATTGTGGTTAAACCCCACTTCTTATTTTCAGGATACTCTTACTCACTATTCTTTGGGATATTCCTAAATAAGACCACTGCCTGATTTGTACATAGTTTGTCTGTTTTATTACAGTGGTGACCCCAC